AAATCTATACAACTTATACACATTTTCCATAAACACCGTAGCCATTGATTTAGCGAATAAAGATGATATAGGACATAAAGTGGGCATATTTAGTAAGTGTGTCTATAACTATAAAAATTATTGACTTACCTTGAGAAGTTGGTAATCTTTTAATGAAATTCATGGTTATATCGGTGAAGATAGCATGAGGTAAAGGCAATAGATTCGATAAACCCGGAGTCGCTACATTTTCATACTTACATTATTGACAAACGTTTTAATTTTGCACATACTCATATATATCCTTGAGTAGTCCCTTCTAGTAGAATAAAGTTGTTACTTTTTTTGTAGCACCCTTAACCCGGAATGTCCACCAGACTATTGAATCATGAAATAATGAGATTAATTTATTAAGTAATCCATCCACACCAACCTCGCTTTTCCTTTGTAAATGCTGATCTTGCCACACATATTTTGAATGCATTCCTCCCGGATTTTGTAATTGTATTAATATAATTGATAGCCTCCGGTCTATACTCTAAAAGTCTCGAATCGTTTTCATCAAATCAATAAAAATAGAAGAAAAAGCAATGTTTGCTAATTGCATTCATGAAAAAGCATCTATAGCTACATTTTTCTTACCTTTTTTATACATAATTTCATAATCGTACCCCATCAATTTGACTAACCAAGTAAATTGACAAAGGTGCGGATTTGTTGCTCCAACGAAATGTTTTAAGCTTTTATGAACCGAACGAGATAATGAAAAGTTTGTTTCCTAAGTATTAATGCCACTTCTTGATAGTAAACGGAATGACCATTAACTCTTTTTCATAGATGGATAATGTTTGATGCTTAAGATTTTGCAACTTATTAATGTCAACAATATGATGACTTTTTGTGTCAACACCGCCACAATTCCTTTTGTAGAGGCATCGGTTTCAATCACAAAATCTTCATTCCATTAAGGTAATGCTAGCATTGAAGTTATAAACATTGCCTTTTTTAGCTTCATAAAGGCTCTATCGGTTGTGAGGTCAGTGCAAATCCATGCTTCTTAAGCAAATCTGTCGGAGGTTTAGCTATTCTATCATAACCCTTCACAAAAACTTTTAATAACTCCGTAAGGCCCAAGAATCCTCACCACCGTTTTAGATTTTATAGAATAGGCCACTCGTTGCACCACTTTAATTTTTTTAGGATCGGTGTGAACACCTTTTTCAAATATAAAATGCCCTCAATACTTCACTTTTGGAGTGCCAAAAGTACATTTAAAATGTTTAGCAAACAAGAAATTCTCTCTCAACATGCTTAACGCTCAATCTTGTTTTCAAATGATGAGCATGCTTATGTAAACTTTTACTAAAGATTAAAATATCATCAAAAAATACTTGGAATGAATTTTTGAAGAGAAGGTCTAAAAATATCAGTCATCAATGATGGAAAAGTACTAGGAGCATTGATTAAACCATATGACATAAACCAAATACTCATAGTGACCATTATGTGTTCAAAAAACTATTTTAGGAATGTCAAAAATATACATTCTCATTTGATGATAACCAACTTGTAAGTCTAATTTTAAAAAAAAATAGTTGATCTTTGCAATTCATCTAGAAGTTCCTCAACAATAGGAATAGAAAATTAATCCTTGATAGTCATTTGATTGAGCTTCCAATAATCCACGCACATCTTTCAAGAATTATCTTTTTTTTTTTTTTGTACTAACATCACTAAAGAAGAAAATGGACTTACACTAGGCTATATAGTACCATTGTCCGACATTTCTTGCACCTATTTCTCAATTTCATCTTTCTTAATAGAATGATACCCGTAAGGTTTCAATGTTATAGGTTATGATCCTGCCTTAAAAATTAATCCTATGATCGTGTATTCATTAAGATGGTAACCCTTTAAGCCCTTAAAAAACATCCGTAAACAAATTCAACATTGTCACCGGTTCATTGGAGTCGATTAACCCAACTCTATTTCTAGATTTGCTAAATCCATTTCATTAAGATCCACTAATTGATTTAATTACAACCACTTTAGTTTTTGTTGTTTACAAATAACCCTATCCACTTCCTAATCTGCCTCATTCTTATTCGATTCGAGTGCACTTCCCTTTCAAAGAAAATAACTTGTCATTTTTAGTAAACTTCATCCATATCTCCTTAAAATTCCAAGTTATATCTCCCACGGCATGCAACCATGCTATTCCCAAAATAATGTCATACATTCCTAAATTTCTTATAAAAATAGTAGCTTTAAACACCTCTTTTTGCATCTTCTACTTAAAATTATTGCATTTATATTGACGTAAAATATTTCCACCATCTCGCCACCCTAATGATTATTAGCTCAATTTTGACTTTCTTAGCAAATTTCAAATCCATAAAATTATGAGTACTACCTATATCTATAAGTATACTCATTCTTTTACCCTTTAATTCCTCTAACATCTTCATAGTTTGATAGTGTTCCTACCTAACACTATGTGAATTGAAACTCGATACTGACTCTCCAACTAGATTGTCCTTATTTTCTTCTTCTCTAAAAGCATCTCCTTCCCTAATCACCTTATTCTTAAAATCACTTGCTATGCAATCCTCCACTTCTAGCATAAACACTCGTTTTTCCTTGCATTTATGGCTAGACACATATTTATCATCATAGAAGTAACATAATCCTCTTAGCCTCTTTTCATCTTATTCGTTATCGCTAACAAGCTCTTTTTTTTTTTCGAAATTAGAATTACCATTTTGGAATTGAGGAGATAAAAGCGAGCATACCTTTTTGGTTATGAAGATTAGTAGTGTTGTAATTTGTCTAAGAAGTCTAGTTCATGGAGTTTAAAGGTACTGTAATTATTGAGGGTAGGTTTCTACTTGAAGTTTGGAGAATTTAAGAATGGTTTCGGAGTTGTAAGTAGGTGAAAATTTGGTGTTGAATCTATGAGGATTATGTTAAAGGTTGAGGTTAGTCTCTTAAAGCTTGGCTAAAGCCATTACTTTTTAAAAAGTTCTAGGTCGCATAACCTTCACTCGGCACTTATAATTTAGAACGCAAGCCTCTTATGAAGCATTTAATAATGTAATCTTCAAGCAAGGTTAATATATTAACAATAGAGATGAACTTAAGAAATAATTGCACATCATGAGTCCGTTTTAACCACATCAATTTTCTCATAGGACCATTGGACATCATAACTCCAAAATGTATACCCATTGCTTCTATATATTCTTTACGTTTAATTATAGTCTTAATGCCATTCATCCTCACAAAGACCCGATGCCACTCTAAGGTCGTTTCTTCTAGATGGATAGCACTTAAATTCACCTTAGCTTCCTCTAGTGTTCCATCCACCATGAAAAACTTTTCACATCCGAATACCCATTCTTCAAAGTCATCATCGGAAAATCTAGGAAACTCAACCTTAGACATACGAGTATTGTAGTTGTAACTATATTCTTCATTGACTCTTTCAAAATTACTATTCATCATTCCGAGTATTCAAAGGATTATTAGGATATCCGTACCTAAGAATTTGATAACCTCTATCATTAAACACACTCAATCCTTCATCCATATTACCCTTTACTCTATTTGGTACTTTTTCGGATATTGGATTCTTGATTCCATTAATCAACTCTCTCTCAATTTGTCAATCTCCTAATCATGTTATAGAAACACAAAATCACATCATTGAGTAAGTTCGGTAATGACCTTTGTGAGGTTGTTAACCGACTCCTTCATCTTTTTCAAGTCGGATCCTCGCTTTTGCCATAGTTGATCAACTTAATTTGCTTTCCCCTAGTGCAAGAATCGGTTTTGATACCAATTGATGCAACTCCAATTCAAATCAATGAAAAACTACTAAAGAATTGCAAAAACTTATCAAAAACTAAGATTTTTATTGAAATCGATTGAAAACAATGGTTTGTATATAAATGTAATGAATGAAAAAAAAAATCTAACAAGATGCTTACAATGCATAAGAAAAAGAAATACAAAAGAAGAAGAAGAAAGAAGCAGAGGATTCGAGAGAAAGAAGAAGCTAAAATTTTAATATTTGTTTAAGAATTAGCAGCTATACTCTTAACTATAAAGAGTAACAAACAAAGGATAGAAAAGTGCCAGGAAATAACATAATAGAATTTGCTTTTTAATCTCTCTACTTCCTCCTCTCCTTTTTTTTTTTTTCCTTCCTCTCTTCCTTCTTTTATCTCTAAAAAAAAAAAAAAAAAAAAATCGGTTTTAGATGGAAAGGGATAGTATCATATGCTCCATAGAAGTTTGAGATAAAAATAAAAGGAATGGAGGTCTCAACTAACGAGCATAATTTCCAGAGATAGAATTCAGTAGTATCATTATTTCTTACGAGACAATACATTCATTATATATATATATATATATATATATAATTGAATGCAGCTGCATGTGCATAAAGAACCTATATAGACACTGAAGTGATAGGTTTGGAAGTTGGAACTGATCCATTTCTTGCTTAGGGCAGTGGTAGGGTCACAAACATTTAAAAGCTCGGTATCATGTGAAGAAAGCTTTAATCCCACAATGTGCATTATTTGATCCAATACGTAAATCTTATATCCACTAGCTACTTACACGCTAAGTTGATGAGCTGGATTAGGCCAATACCAGCTTGACAAATTCAATAAATAAATCATATAGTTTCTCCGTTGATGGCGTTGCTATACAGTAGTCATGACATGTTTATTTTTTAAAAAAAAAAAAAACTAGTGGATTCTTGATACTAGGACGTTATATTATTCTTTCGAAAATAAAGGCAGATCAAATGTATGTGTTTCTCTTCTCAAAAATTTAAACAAAAAGATAACAGAAACTGATTAAAGAAAAGATCAATTATTCTAAGCAAACCAAGTGACCATCAGATTGAACACTACACTACACTACACTACGTACACATGTCGTTTTTGAAAGAAAACAGAACAAACACACGTCTTCTCCTTCAAATCAGATTAGGAAAAAAAAAAAAAAACTTAATCTTTACCTGCATATACGATAATACTCCTATGATTATTATTTGTTGTTGACGACGATGATGGTGATTGGTTTTTATGCCTGATAAAGTAGTAAATCAAAGCAGAAGTAACTAACAAACCCAAACCCGTGACCCCACACACCAAGCTTGCCACCAACAGCACGTGCCTCACATGATCACCACTACCGCCTTTACCACCACCACCACCAACAGTTCTCCACCACGAGGTGTCGCTTGAGTTCATTGCTTTAGGCAATGCTACACCAGACGACGATGAAGAAGTCTTATTTGTAGCCGCTGAAGATGATCCAAAGAATTCTTTCATGTCAGGTGGAAATTTCACCCCAGTTGGTGGCATGCTCTGGTACTCCAGCCCATGATCGGACGGTCGTAACTCCCTGGCTCTTGAATCTTGTATGATGATGATCATCATCATCATGATCGAAAACTGTATGTAGATAGCCGTTACTTTGGTGCTGATTTCTTTAAAAGAAACCATTTTCAGCTCCTTGTTTGTTTCTTCCTTTGGCTGTCTCTCACTATCTCAAAACACGTACATTAATTGATGGAAACATCTGTAAATATTCATCCATCCAGTCATTAAAGAAGGATTCGAAACCGAATAAAGAGACCAAACGGTGTCGGTTGGGTTCTCTCTCTTTTCCTTTATTCTTGTGTTTTTCATTTATTTTGGAAGAAAAGAAACTCGTGAATTGTTGTCGGGAACCAAAAGTCTTCACAATCACAAAAAGTCTTTCACAACCCTCGCCGCTGCTTTCTTTGTCTTTAATGCTTGCTGTCACTCTGTTACTAATATTAGTACGTCATAAAGAACCTCAAAAAGCAAAAGCATGCAACAACCACAAACCGTTTTTACCATTTCACATGGCTGTGAATAGTGAAAACAATATATTCCAAAGTAAATAATCTTGGTCTAACCACATTTAAATAAATAAAAACTTTGGTTTTCTAAAGTAAAGCTCGAATTCAAACAGCCAGTAATTATTTGTAAGCTTTTCATTTTTAGGCTAAAGTCATAGGGTATCAATACAATATCATTGCATAGGATTGGATTCGTTTTCGACTTGGTGGCCTTTCATGTCATTTCATTTTTACTCAACCCATTAACTAAAAAACTAAAACATTTGAGATAAATTAACAGTGAATAACAGTAAATATACTGTTCATTACTTTAAAAGGGGGCATTTTTGTGATTTTTTGTGATGGTGGTTTCGTTATTTTCATAAAGTTTTTTCTTTTTCTTTTTCTTTTCATTCATTTTCAAATTTTACACTTTTTTTTCTTTATGTTTTTAAATCCTCATATTTTTATAATATTTTGACACATCATATTTTTAACTTAGTCCATTTTTACCTCACTTTTTTTCAAAATATATTTTTTCTCATATTTTAAAAAATGTTTTTGGCCTCTAGTGTTTTTAAATTTTAGAACAAACACACATATCGAATTATATTTTTTTATTGATTAAAATTAATTTCTTAAATTTTTCGTTTATTATAAAAATTCTCATCAAATTAATTTTTTTATGAAATTTTATTTGTTAATTAATATGATTTATTTTTCTCTCTATGTATGAATTTTTAATATGTTTTTTCAATAAATAATATAATTCATATGTTTTTTTTTTTACCTTATTCTTGATATAATCAAATTTTAAAAAAAATTAAATTATTTTTATTACACTCTATTAACATTAATATATTTCTTACTTCTTCATTTTTTTAAACATATTTTTTAATTTGTACATAGTATGGTACCGATATATACAAAACGTTATTGAAATCAATAATTTTATTAAAAATTAATTATGCATCAATACATATAACACCAAATATTTTCAATTAATTATTTTTTATATTCTAAATTTAATTTATTTTAAATAAAATATTATTTTTAAAGAACCACCTAATAATTCAAATATATGCTTTTATACCTAATATTATTGATTGTTTTGTATGTGTGTGTGTCTATATATCAAATGTACATATTTTTAAAAAGTTTAAAAAGATTCACTAGTTAATTTTTATACAAATTTTTATATTGATTGTTGATATATTTCTCTAATACAGATCTTATGAAAAAAAAATATTAAGATATTTTTTAAAATTTTATATTTATATTATTGTAGGTTTTTATATAAGAACGAATGAAAAAAAATTAAATTGTTTTTTTTAACAACAAAATCTATGAAAAATATAGAGAAAAACAAATGAAATACAAAATTTGATTAAAAATTATGAAATTAAATCATTCTTTATCTTTTTTTTAATTTAATATATATTAGTAAAAAAAAACACTAAAAGAACTAAGATATTTACTATTGTTTTAGACTTAGTAGAACTAAAACAGCTAAGTTTTTTGAACAATGATGAATAGTGAAAATCATTGTTCATTATAGTAGCTGTGTGTGTGTGTGTTTTTTTTTTTTTTTTGTTTTTTAGGTTCCTAAAAATTTCAAATAAAAATTTTAACCTCTAACCGATGCACTACACATGCCTTCTCTTTTTCCTTTTCTTTTTCTTTGGTTTTTTCTTTGCTTTTTCCATCAATTTATGTTCTTTTTTTATTTAATTGGATGTTAAAATTTTGAAAAATCAATTTTTGTTTGCTTTTTTTTTCATCAATTTATGTTCTTTTTTTTAATTGAGTGTTAAAATTTTAAAAAATCAATCATAACTTTTTTTCACACAAACCGATGATTATATAATATATCTTTTTATATTTTAAAATCAAAATATACTTCGACTTATATTGCTCTTATTATTTAAACTTCATTCTTTGAATTTGTCAATTTTTTTATGAAAAATCTCATCCAATTAATATTTTTTATATGAAACTTTATTTATTGATATTATATCATTTATTTTTCTCTCGTGTTTGAATTTTAGAATAAAATTTTAAAACATGATTGTTTTTTCTTTTTTTAAAATAAATTGGTACAATATATATCATGAATTCTTAAAATTTTTAAATGATAGTTGCATATATATAAATATATAATTATTTTATTCTAAAAAAGTAAAAGTGTATTTCAAGTAATTTACCTCGATTAACTAGATATGGTCAAGACATATAAAAAAATTATTGAATCGTTGATTTTATTAAAAATTAACTATGTATCTTCCAACATAATACAAATTCTTTACTATAAATATTTTTTTAACATTATAGAACCAATTTATTTGAAATAAAATAATTAAAATAATTTTTTAAAGAAAAGAACTAATTATTCAAATACTCGTTACTATAAATATTTTTTTTAACATTATAGAACCAATTTATTTGAAATAAAATAATTAAAATAATTTTTTAAAGAAACCAACTAATTATTCAAATACTGTTTTTTATGCTAATTTTATTGATTATTTTGTAAATAAATATATATAGATCAAATGCATATACTTGAAAACAAAATCGTCTCACCAACATTAAATAAGAATAAAATTTTATTTTTTAATTGGTTAATTTTTATGCAAGTCTATACATTAATTATAACTTTATTTTTTGGATACATTCTTATAAAAAGATAATTTTAAAGTATTTGTTTTTGAATTCTTAATTAATATTTCAAGGTTATATTATTACAAGTTTTTATTTAAAAATCTCTAAATAACGAAAAATAAATTATGTTTTTTGAAGCAGAAATTTTATGAAAAACACAAAAAAATAATAATTATTAAATAAAAAATTAATTAAAAAAATTGTAACATTTTAAAATGATTTTATTCTATTTACTTATAACGTTACGTAAATAATTTCAAAAATTAATCTTCTAATCAGAATTAAATAAGATTTTTTTCATTTATTAATTTTTATAAAAATCTATCCATTAATTATAACTTTATTTTTTGAAATACAATATTGTAAAAATTATATTTTAAAAGTTTTTTTTTCAATTCTTGATTAATATTTTAATTAAAATTATTAAAATTTTTAATTTTAAAATCAATCCATAAAGAAGAATGATTTATTTTTAAAAAAACAGAAAATTTATAAAAACATTAGAAAAACATTAATTAAATAAAAAATTTTAGTTAAAAAAATTTAAAACAATTTTATTCTATCGGACCCGTAACGTAACGGAAACAACATGCTAATTATTTTGTAGATGCACGGATGGTTCAAACTTTGCCAATTTTTCATGCAATGTGAAAAATTGTGTTCATAGAGGCTCAAGAATTTTATATAAGTCTGTCATTCCGTCATTATTTATGAAAAATTGCTTTTGACCTTTGAGTCGTAACTATGTCATTGGCACAATTACTTGTTCCGACTGCTGAGAGGCCTTAATACTATAACGTGCTGTTGAGGTCTCCCAACTGCATAGCTACATTACCAAGATGAAGAAACTTGGCTGCAAGAGCTAGAGAACCTTAAATACTGAAAAGTAATAGTCCAGACATTCAATATAAATAGATGTACACAACCAAAAATAACCGAAGGAAAAAATCAATACAATATGAGAACACCACACTGTCGGTGGAGAAACAAACCATAAAATACGAAGTCTATAGAGCTTTGGATACAGATGTCTCGAATTCAGGTATCGTCGACTTGAGAGTGGAAAACAAAGCTGGGGAATGTAGTCGTGATGTCCCTGCTCAAGAAAATAAAGAAACTGGGTCAGCTTGCCACTAGCATCAGGTTCAACATAGAACTATTTGTCTAACTAGTTACATTTTCTAGCCCATCAAATGGTTTGAAAGGTCCAAAAATTCTTCAGTTGACATGAAAATTCCATAGCATCAGAGTAGCGCCTAATGAGAAAGAGAAGTAGGCATGCGTATTTCAAACTCACTTGAGGTATTGAAGTGTCATATTCTTCAGAAGGGATGGATGGCGTAAAACAAGGCTTCTCCACTCTTCCTTGTCAATCTTCCCATCATGTTTTGTATCAGCTTCCTCAAAGGTCTGAAACAAGGCTCCAAAATTCAGAATCTCAAAATTATCCAATAAACGCTTGCAAGCAAACAAAATAATGCTGAAAGCTTTCAAGAACCCATTTATTAAGCAAGAAAGAAAACATTTGATTAATCTGAGGGAGCACCTTGTCAATTATACTTTCTATTACATCATCTGAAAGGTTCATACCAGATTCGGCAAGAGTAGCCACTACCATTTGCTTGACCTATGCATCAACAAGTTGATAAAGTCTAAAGTCACCAAACAAATAAATAAATAAACAATTGAGAGGAGTTCAAGAATCAAATAACGTTAAAGTTAACCCTTCAACAATGAAATTTACCTCCTGTCTTTCAATAAAACCTTGCTGCTTTAGATCGTAAAGTTGGAAAGAAACTGCAATAGCACACAACTTGTAAACATAAATAGAGAATCAGGTAGGAACGCCTAGAAAATTAAAGAATGGTATTTCAAAATTCATCATCCTAGTTACACACTAATCAAATCTTTAAGCACAAACAGTAGCCAATTAGTTCATGTAAGAGGAATGCTCATAATAATTATGACCATACACAAGGGGCAAAAGAAAAGAAAGCTTATGATAAGGACATAATGAATCTCAGACATACACTCAATCTTATCATCAATGGGGGCATTTGGATGAAAAACAGAGAGGGCACGGGCAAACTCTTCAAAACCTAGTATCCCATTGTGTTTTGTATCAAACAAGTCAAATACCTGCAATCAATAGACAACACAACAAAGAAGCAAACAAAAGGTAATTAACAAATGGGTCAAACACTCTATGAATAGAACAGATAATTTGTTGGAACAATTGTAAGTGAGTTTTGACAATGACAATATAAAGTACCCTATCAGCAAACAAGCTCTCCTTTTTGTTTGTCTTGAACAACGCTAATTGAAACTCCTCCTATAACAGGAAATAAAGAAATAGGCATGTAAGGATTTTCGAACAAATTATAAGAAAGTAGCATTCACGTGAAGAAAATAAAACATGGCATTGTAAGAGGAACCACTAGATTCATATGAAGACAAAACACAGAGCAAGCTTATGCCTAAAATGAAAATTATGTATGGCCAGATTGAAGAATACACAAACCTTATTGATCAGCCCGTCATCGATCACGGCGCTGCTGATCTTCTTAAAGAGCTCATATAATGCCTCTATTTCACTTACACTGACTGCATCCAAGGTTAGCGAAAACAAAACTGTCAATTGAATTATTGGTAAGGCTAAAGATATTATATTCATTATAAAACAACACTGTAGGATTCTTTTTATTGGGAAATAAAAGAAGAACTAATACAATGAGCAAATATCCTCACAACTGAAATGAATCCAATAACAAAAGGGCATTTACTGCATTCATTATCAGATAATTTTTCTTGCTAGACTTTCACAATCAAAAACAAAAAGTCCAAATTGAAGAAGAAACATGCAGTGTGAAACCTATTGGCAAGACATATTGCATAAAATCTAAGAATTTTCTGTTGACTAAAGATTCCAAGAATGAGAAGTAGAAAGAACCCATTAGCTGCATCAGATAAAAGATTAACAATGTTATCATAAAGAATGGGCAAGTACGTACAGACTGTCTCCCTTGCAAGAAGCTCAGGATCTTCAAGGCCTCTTGATTGTTTGTATAGATCTAGATCACAACACCGCAAGATGGAGGTAATGAATCCCTCTACACACTGCAACATGATATATTGTACGCATCAAAACACTCCATACCTGTGAAACAGAGAAATGAGTAAGAAACCCTTCAGGTAACTTTATGTGAAGATAGAACCGATATCAAGGCAATCAATAGATGAACCTTTTCACCATTTCCTGCTTCTGCTAGCCAATCCCCCAATTAAGTTCAGTAAAAACTTGAGCTCTCAATAGTGTACCTGTTTATAGGAATAAAATTAATATATTTGTACCTTCCTGATTAATAAAGAAATATTCAATCAAGAAGAGGAACTGTAAAAAATGAAAAAAGGAGAGACATTAAGCCCCCATTTTGGTAAGAAATGACCATAACATGGGAAAGTAGGTTGTGAAAAAGAGAAGCAATTAAAATTAGAAAAGATGGACAATCTTTTAATCTGTGTGTACGGAGACATGTTGGCAATTACATATATTAAGTTATACACATCATGTTATACACCAATGTGTCATTAAACATTTAGATTTCTTTTACCTTTTCCTCATTTTTCAGAAAACAGAAAGCCATCCCAGGATTTGTGCAATGCAACAGGTAAAAGTAACTGAATACCCAAGGCATAGAAAAGAGGAAAAGGAAAATAACACAAGTAAATGCTGTCCAAACCAGAACTATTGACCACCACACATGCCACAAAATAAAAACCAAAGATGGTCAAGTTGTCCAACTAAATCACAATAGCCAACTTTCCAAAGGCCCCTTGCGACACAACAAGTGTCCAAAACAAATAGACAATAAAGAGGCACCTAGAAGCATTAACAACTAGAAAATTAGAGCAGCTTTTCTGGTAGAAGTAGAAAACAGGGAGAAAGAAACCAGTTGGGTACTCTGACAAAAAGAGATCCCATGGTGTGGCTGGTGCACCACTGAAAAGAAAATAGGCAAATTTAGGTTCTTGGGGCAGATGGATGCTGCAGAGAAAGAGGAAAGAGCTACTTGTATCTACTTATATCGTTTGTGGAGGCTCCTTGGTGGAGGTCCCATGCTGCCTATGAATAAAACATATGCAAGGCTGGCCATTACACAACCTAGATATTGCACCTCAAAACACAGAGTGGCAAGGGAGCCAAAGCAAAGTCAAGGCTCTTGGGTAAAACTCAGTTAGTAGGTTCTTCTATTTAGATTAAGTCTGAGAGCATAGAACATGATCCATTCCGAGACCATCTAGTCATCCCATGAACTGTTCGCAGAGCAGTTTTGACCTCCATGATGAAGCATGTAGAATGTTCTCTAGCAATGCTCCAAGGCCCGGAGCAGGCATCAACATGTTGTGTGCTAGAGCAGTTTCAGGTACTCACAAAATGTTAGGCCGGCAACGCTTTCTGATACTGTATCTCCAACAATCACCACTCCTAGGTTTTCTCACAAGGCGTCAGTTATATCCTCACAAAATGGAAAGCGATAGGTAGCATAGTTTTCCCAGTTCTATGCTTGCATTATATCAAGATCCAACGACATATAAATGATTAAACTTTAAGCTTTACATTCAATTGGATAAATTACCTCTTTATGGTCAATAATTCAATATCACGAACAACAAATTTTTAAGCTATCAAATCTACTCGCAATTGAGAATTGAATAGTATAACATAGATGAACATTTATCCATACTGAATCCAAAAATCGATTCCTGGTGCAGTTGTCAACTTTCTTATTTCACCTTTTATTCGTCATTCAATCCATTCTTAACTATAAAACTGTAGCCTTCCATGTAAAAGATCATCCAGTAGGACCACAAAGCAGGAAATCTATCAAATGCCAAAAATCACCATCAAGGCTCTGACTAGCAAAGCACACCTATATCATACCCATTAAATTGATATGACTGGCCTCACTAAAAAACTAAGTAGCTAAGAAGAATAGAATTCAGCCTAATGCCTTAAAAGAAATCCGAGTAAGATCTTGATGTCTCTATAATTCCATAAAATTCCAAAACCAAAACGACACAAAGAAAACATCGATCCTGATGTCTCAAAAACAAAGTGCACAAAATCAATAAAATTACAAATAATAACATGATAGATCTAATAAACACTTAAAAAATTCAAAAAAGAATCATAATAACATCAAATACCGAACAGAAAGTAGCTCAACGATCTGTTTGGATGCTGAAAAACTAAAAAGGGAGAGATGGAGATGTTGGTTAGCGAGATTCCACGATTTACTCTTCTCTATGGATTCAGCAAATTTTATCGATAAACAAACAGATGATAAGTAAAAAGAAGGTCTCACCTTACGACAAGGATGGATAGTACTGCAGAGAATATTTTTGACTCGGAAAATCTATGCAACTGCTCCGTATAGAGATTTTGATTCAAGTAAGTAAAATTGAAATTCGAATTGGGATATGAGAGAGAGACAGAGAGAGATTGAATTATTAAGAATTATTTTATATTTATTTATATATATTCAGAGACAGAGAAATCTGAAATTTGATTCAATTATTAAAATCAATTTGTTTTTTTTAGTTTGTATCATTCCGAAGCTACCGCTCCTTGCTAATGATAGGATTTAATCATGACCGCACCAACGGCGTCGTTCTAATTTTATGCGTTCCATTTTATTTCATTTTTCCTCGTTTTGTTCATCATTCAGTAGCCATTTGAAACGGTAAGAGATGTTATAAAAGAAATGAAAATAATAATAAAATTGAAGGGAAAGAAGATAGAAAAATCAATTCAATATAATATAAAATAAATATAAAGATAATAATTTCAAATGATTTTTTTTAATTTTTACAAAATACTTATACAAAAACTAATGAACAATAAAGCTTATTTATAGGCTTAAAGATTAGGATGAGAATTAGAAGTGACTATGAACCATTTAAAAATATATAAATTGTTGAATCAATTGCATCGCCCTTTCAATTTTTTATATTGAATGGGAAATTAAATTACATTAAGAAATATGAGTAGTGAAAACATGAAAAGTATATGAACATTCATATGGACATTCATTATTTCATAACACTTCCCCTCGAATGTCCATCATACAAAGAACATGTCTCGTTAAAACCTTACTAGAAAAAAACTTAGTAGAAAAAAATCCTAGTGAAGGAAACGAGTATAATATTTCATGTACACATAAACCTCAATGTTGGGCTCTCTTGTTGAAAACATCATTTAAGATCTTTAAGATGATGCATGTTAGTCTTATGAATCATTTTCTTAAAAGTTATGATAGGTAATGCCTTTGCGAATAAGTCCGTCGGATTTTCATTTTGATGTTCTTCCTTTAATTGAGTTATGTAAGCAACATTATTTTCATATAATGTTGTTAAAACTTTCTTCGTTGAAAGATAAACTCGCTTATCTCTCGGATATGATGGATCGTTGTTCTTAGTCAAACACATTCTCAATATGCCTCATGAATTGGTATTTCTACATGGTTTGAATATCTAGCGAGCTATAGTTTGCTTTATAAAACATCATGATATAGCTATATCACTAAGTGTAAATACATAACCTCGTTTGTAATCTAGTTTTATAAGGATCAATTAAATAACACGTATCCGCATAACCAATTAAACCTAAATTTGATTTATTTGAGTAAAATAAATATCATATCAATTCTTTCTCAAAGATAATGTAGGAAATATTTAATTCCATTCTAATATCTCCGTATTAGAATAGACCTATGACTTGTTAATAAATTTATAAGAAAGGTTATATCGGATCGAGTATTATTAGCAAGATATATCAATGCACTCGTGGCACTAAAATATGACACTTCGGAACCAAGTAGTTCTTCATTATTTTCTCAAGGTCGAAAAATGATCTTTTTTGGATATCAAATGAACGAACTACCATTGGGCTAGTCAATGGATGATCTTTATATAGAATATTTGTAGAACTTTTTCTATATAGATTGACTAATGAATAAAAATATCATTCTCTAAATGGTCAAATTACGAGTCGAGATAAAAATTTATTTTCCAAGGTATTCACATCAAATTATCTTTTTAGATAACTTATGACACTTTGAATCGCTTCGAAGTTCCATTAATATCTAAATCATCAATATATACAACAATTATCACAAATTCTTTTTCGAATTTCTTTATAAAAATACATGAACAAATATGGTTATTTTACAACCTTCTTTTGATAAGTATTTATTGAAGCAATTATACCACATACAAATAGGTTAGTAATAAAAAAATAGATATTAAAAAATAAAAATAAATATAAAAAATATAACGTAAATTGAATTTTAAAAAATTAAAATAATAAAAAATACTAAAATAATCCCAATAAAGATTTTTATAATTTAATTGAATTCCTTACACGAGAATATGTATTACAAGCTTCGGACATCTTAACTCCTTTAAGACTTTCATATAGATGGCATTTTCAATCGAACAAATAAGTTATGATCCTATCCCTTAAATATATACATATGAATTTTTTCATATATTATATCGAGCTAACTAGATAACGAAATATAATTACATCCATTACAGGAGAATATATCTCCTCATATTCAATGTCAGTTCTTTATGAAAACTCTTATGTTACAAATCTTGCTTTGTATCACATAATCTCATCTTTCTTATTTCATTTTGATAAAAATATTTATTTGTGTTAGTGTGGGTGCCCAAGCTTTAACTATATTTGGATAGGTTTGAGTTATTATATTATTATATCATTTATTTTATTAATAATAAAAAAATCTTTCTACTAATTCTTATCTCGTATATCTATTTATTGAATAGAATAGATAGAAGTCTATATGATATGCATTTGCATTAATGATTGATCCGAAGATGTGAGACAAACACTAATGCACATAAATGATATCATTAAATATCCCAAGTCATAGCATTGTTAAGAATGAACATTGACTATATGCAATTAGACTTGTGAGTGCTATGCTCATACTATATGATAGCGATAGAAGATATCATATCTATTGACACGATGATGTAAAGTAAGCACTTAGGTAATTAACGTTAGAGAACATATCACTAAACTTGACTCGTTATGAAAA